AACTGCAGTCAGAGAGTGTGTAATTGAACTGAGTTATTGTTGAAGTTGAGCACGTGAGACGTTCGTTGAGAATTATAGCGTTTGTTATAGCGCGACTGTTGAAATTAACTGTATCGCAAAGTTATATTCAGAAAGAGTAAACCAGTTTTATTTAAGAAAGGACTTGTGTCGCTAAAGTTTCGTCGGAACTAAATTACGGAAAATTAACTAACGAACGGAGACGTAACGATATAAAGGAGCATCTTAAAATTTACTGTCATGTTTCAAATGAACAATAACGTGTCTAAGATTTTGTTTCTTTATTTAAAACATACAGTATAGTCTTTTAAACACCATGTGGCAAAATATACTAACGTATATCTAGTGTAGAGTCATAAAGATCGAGCATTTATGAAATACAAAATAAGCGAATGACAGCTGAATTTAAAATTCTCCGTTTCTAAAGAGAGACATTACTTATCATAAAGGTTATTTCTCTGACAGACCTTTTGCTTTAATTTTTAGGTGTGTTTACTGGTTGCAGCACTTTGGCTCAAGCCTTGGCTCTCCCAGAAGATGGTAAGGTAGTTGCTTGTGATATTCAAGAGGAAACTATTAAACTTGGTAAACCGTTCTGGGAAGAGGTGAGTAACATTTATAATGTTCAGCTTAAATTATATATGGAATATACTTTGGTTTTTATATTTCTTTTAGAGCATTAAATACTAGAAATTGTTACATGTTAATTCCATTAACATATATGATTATAATATCTCGGCCTTTTTTAAGATAAGTGGCAAGTAAAACGTCAAATAAAGACAAAAATAGTGTTATAATGTTGTTTTTTCGTTGTGCGGTTATTTTAAATTATTTGGTGAAAATAATTCGAAGTCCAGTCCACGTAGCAATAACAAATGAGTTTATCGTTTCCTTAACGTTTCTATAAGCTGCCTTCTCGTGTACACTGTTGTAACTTACTGGCCTAAGTTTACAAGTGACGTTTAATAATGGTATTACGACTAACATAAAAATAAACTTATTTGTACAATTTCACGGCTAATCGATTGAGTAACTGAATATACACGATGACAAACGCAAATTAAAATACTTCACTAAAACTAAATATTTCACTGAATGATTGGAATCGAACTAAATAAAAAAACACAAAAAACAACAACAACTTTTCACTCCTTTACTCGATCACTGATAGCTTTCTAATTTACTGGCCCAATAATATTTATATTTGATGTTACACTTCTACATATTTGTCGAAGTTACTAGGTTTTCGGGATATCATATTTAGAACATTATTGATATTTTAAGTCTACTTTATGAATTTTTCGATCTTAACGTCATTGCGTCCTCTAACTAACATTTCAAGTAAATGTACTTGTAATAGTAATGCCCCAATTCCAATGTCTGAAGCATCAGCCTGAACATTGAATGGTTTGTTGAAGTTTGGCATTATAAGAATTCGCGAACTTCCCAACATGTTCTTTAATTTCTGAAATGCCATATGGTGTGGTTATTACCACTTCATCTTGTTGGGCAAGCCTTTCTTGATCAGGTCGGTCAATGGTCCAATCACTTTAGCATAGTTTGGGATGAATTTCCTTTAGTATCCTGCTAACCCCAGGAAGGATGTGACTTGCTGCTTGGTCATTGGAGCTGTTGTATCTTGTATAGAGATTAGGGGAGACCGGAGCTAGTTGTTACGATTTTTATAAAAAGTCCAATATCTAGCGAAATAACCAGAATCGTACATTGAAACTGAATGAAAGTGAAAGATAAATATGTACTTTATCAAAATTATGTATTCTATATTGAACAAAATTGGTTACATAAAAGATTTTGTAAATATTTTGAAGTAAAGTCAAGTGTAACAATATGCCCCGGATGCGGGGGTAAGTTGATATAATAGGTGGGGCATGTTGTTATACAATAAAAAAAATCTGGAATATTTACCAAAATTAGCCTACTTTATCATGCTAAATGTTATAATAGGCCTACTGTAGTTTTCTCATAACATCTAGCATGTTAGAGTATAAGCCTAATTTCAGTAATTATTCCAGATTTTCTAAATTTTAATACGATATAATAATTGTAGGCTTAATAAATTTATTAATTATTACACCATAAAAAACGTTTAAAACGACAATTCAAACATAATTATATTGTAATGAATTTATTATTGATTACACGATAAAATAAATCTTGAAACGTTATTTAAACATTGTTTCATGATCGAAAAACTTAAAACAAAAATGGTTATAGTTCTAGTCTATGTCACAATCACAATTTTCACAAATATATGGACCACGAGTTTCACCTGCTATGCATTCA